TTTCTTTGCTTCTCCTGGTTCCTGTTGATCAGTGGTGTTTGGCCAGTTTGTGTTTTTCCAGACATCACTCCACGATGTTGTTGAGGTGTATGATGGGCCAGCTCAGCAATCTTCTCTGTTATCTTCCCTCTCAGGATCCCATTCAGGTATCCTTTAATAGAACTGCCATGCCTCAGTTATTGATTAAAGTCTGACTTTGATTGGTGTCATAGTTAAAGTTGAGATTTATGTCATCATTTTTAGAAAAACTTAAATTGAAAATAGAATCACTTTTTTTTAAAACAATAGAAGCACAATTAACAGTAACTCAAAAACTTAAGAAAAATATAATCAACTATTTCTTGGATTGTACTTATATATAAATATAATATTTAATCACTCTGTGGTTTTGATGTAATATAAAATATTTAAGGAATCTTTAAAGAATGAGCCAATATATATCAAATGTAATGAAAGCTTTCTGGTAAAAAGCTTACACTTGAAGCTGAACCCATAGAGAATATATTGTTAGTGGTAGGATATTTTAAAGTAATTTTGATAGAAAGTAGATTGATGTTTTCGGATGACAGTGTAAATTAATGTAGCTTGTTAGGTTTACTGAATGGAAATTATTTATTATATCTTAGTGTTTGTTTTGTTGAGTAGGAGAATCACTTCCACTGAGTTCAGGTAATCAGATCACAATTCGATTTACTTCAGTTGGACCAATAACAGCTAAGGGATTTCACTTTGTTTATCAAGGTAAGTCACCCCGTAGCCTAGAAACACACTAAAGAATGATACCAGTTTCTATCCTATGTGCAGAGCTGTTGAACAATGAGATCCTTATTATCATATAGGAAAGGGAAAAGTTTTGTTTTTGTTTTTAAATAGTTTTACTCCGTCTTCTCCCCTTATTAATAGAGCTCTGTCACTTGAATCAAAATCAAAAAAGGCCTCACTGCTTCCGTCATCATCTTTAATTTAAATGTATGATTTTCCGTCCTCCAACATACGGTTTTCTACACCTCTTTTTTCTTCAAATCAAATACATATTTTCATACTTTTTCCATAGTCTAACACTCCAACTTAAAAATTGTTTAAATTTTGTGTGATGATATACTTAGGCATGCCAAAGAAATCATTATTTCATTCTAAAGTTATAGTTTCTCATTCTTTCAGAATAATTCAAAATTTCATCAGTTACTGAAGATTTCTGTTCAATTCAAAGTCCACTTATACAGTTTTATTTATCCTTTATAGATAATCCCCCATATTTTCATTAATTAAGAGCCATTATTCCAAATATTTTGAGTTATGTATGACAATGGTTTTTCTAAAATTTATCTTGAACTTTATCAACTAAGAATTTAATAAATATTTATGACTTTAGATTCTTCTTAAGCCCTCTTATCCTATTTATTTGTTGGGCATAATATTGTACTGTTTTATATTTGATAGTATTTTCCCTGTAAACAATTGGAGATAATGTGAGTTTAAAAAGGCACTATAACAAATGAAGCTATTTTCACTCAAGTCAAATAAGTACAATGAATCTATTTAAAATTCATCATATCATTTTGGGCTAGTGACAGTCTCTTTAATACCATCTGTATGTGTTTTAAAAAGAAAAAAACATCCTGTTATCATTCTTCTTTACTAAACCAAAAAAAAAAAAAAACAATTGAAGGACATATTTTAAGAACTACACACAATTTCTAATTTGGTATTATGTAATTATTAAAGTGAAAATGTTTATTGTTGTTACTCTGTCTGACTTACACTCTAGTTATTATCTTCACCAACAACAAAATGTTTTCAAAAACTAAGTCTGTACTTATAATATTGACTTAATAAAGCATTGTGTTTGTTTTTTAATTTTGAGGAACAAATACTAAAAAAATGCAATTACCTCTTGTAAGATGATACATATATTTCTGAGTATGTCAGTTTTGAAAGAAAATGTATATAAATATTTCAGCTTTCATCTCATAAATTGAAATATCTAGCTCTAAAATTATATTGTTATATTAATTAATGTTTGCTATAATAAAATAGAACCAATATACTTAATGTTGTTTAAAGAGTTAAAAATAAAATGTTTAAATGACAAATCCTGTGATTATAGCATTATTTCATTCATTTTGAATAGTATTTTATTCTGCATGAAATTTAAAACTTTTGAGAAAGCTCTGACAAAAAGTGAAGATATTCTTTTCTCTGGTTAGTCATATTTTAAAATTTGTATTTCTGTACCAAATATGAAATTAAAATAAACAATTATTTGTACACAGCTGTTCCTAGAACAAGTTCTACACAATGCAGTTCTGTGCCTGAACCCAGATTCGGAAGAAGGATTGGCAATGAATTTGCAGTTGGTTCCTTGGTTCTTTTTGAATGTAACCCAGGCTATGTTCTCCATGGATCCATAGCAATTAGATGCGACACAGTGCCCAATTCTTTGGCCCAGTGGAATGATTCCTTACCTACTTGTATTGGTGAGTACATAAATTTGTATTTTTTCTGATTTACATATTTTATATAAGAATTTTTTATATTGCATCTCTCAATTTTTCTATTTCATTTCTAATAGTTCCACAATAATTTTTTAAGTAATTGTTTGTTTTTGCTGTATCTAAATATGCAAATTAGAGAAGAGATTTGGTGATATTATCTGGTGATGAAACCCATTGACAAAATATTTGTGGAATTGGCTGTTAATTCACTGTCATTAATTTATATGGACAAAAATGCACACATATTTCCAATAGCACACAGACTTCGGACGTTACCAATATTGGATCATTAACCTTGGCTTCAGATTGAAATAAATACAATTTTCCATGTTTAAAAGTTTGTGAAAATGTTTCTGCACTGCTATGTATAAAATTCACCTATCTTGTAAGAATCACAGAAGCTGATTCCTCTATTCATATTTTAGGTTAGCAACAAAAAAAGTTTAAAAAAAATGTATTTTGTAAATATGTAAATATGTACAAATCAACTTGTTTTTACTTTGCTATTCATTATAGACATATAAGAAAAGGTGTAAAATAAGAGATTTTCCCCCTCTTTTAAAAATGTTTCCAATTGGTAACATTTTGAATAAGTAGAATGTGTAAGTTAACCAGTAATCTCATTGCTTAGAAACTTATTTTTGAAACTTTATCTAATATACATTGGTAAGTAGATTATATGCTATAAAAATTGTGATTCTCATCATTGTTTACAGTCTTGTAGTATTTCAGAATCGTCACAGTAATTTTTGGTTTTCATGGAGTTCCATACAGGGACACTAGTGGCACAGTGACTAAGGCATTTGACTGCTAATCAGAAGGTTGGCAGCTCAAACCCACCAGCCACTGCATTGAAGGAAGATGGGGCAATTGGCAATCTACTTCTGTGAAGATTAACCACCTCAGAAACCCAATGGGGGTCACTATGACACTAGATAGTAGTTTTTTTTTTTTTTTTTTTTTAACAAAGCTCCATAAATGTGGAAAATGTAAAAGATTGGGAAGTTGCCCAATCCCCTCTCCCAGGATATATAGAAATTATTATTTTCAATTCTGAAATATTAAATTAAAAGAAAAATGATGGAGAGTGGGTGAGGGTTGGGAATGGTATCTGGGGAGTGGAACCAAATGTACACAAAATGTTGAATGTAAAACAAACTCTGCTCTATACATTAGCATGGAAAGTAAAATAAAAAATAAAAAAATGAAAGAAAAATGATAAAAATTCATCTCAAGGTAATAGATATATGTCATGGGTTGAGTGCTTTCTCATTAACATTTTTTTTCTCATGTGATTTGGAGAGTTAGAGGATTTTTTTAATGAAATGTAAGCAAAATTTTGTTGGTTTTAATATCCTCAATTCTCTACTTTCCCATCGTGAAGCCATTTCTATGTGCGAGCATACACATAACATAAAATCTACTAAACATAACATACATACTTACAAACATTATTTATAACATATCTTGTCATACCTAGAAGAAAATAACACATATTCAAAGTTTTATTTTTAATTATTTCAAACACATTGATTGACATGATAGCTTATAAGTCATTAGAGTAAAATTTATTTTTCAAATATGAAAAGATATGTAAAGTACATTTGTTCCTACTAAGGAAGCAGAAATGATAAATTTTGTTGATGTAAATTCATAAGACATATTTTTATAGAAATTATATGATATAATAGGTAGAGTCAGTTTTTTATAACTGACTTCAAGACATAATTATTGATTGTGTTGGGGTAATGATATAAACTGAAACTGTCAGAAACATAAAGCAAGGGATGGTCACTTGATTGTCTAGGAACTTAATACCACCATTCCCTCCTAAAGAGTTTTACCTAGCATATTTCAAAGGGCATTTTTCTTACAACAAATATTTTAATTCTAACCACTGAAATAATGAAATATGAATTATTCTTTTATTAGTCTATTATTTGTTGAAATGGCACCTTTAAAAAGTATTTAAAACACTGAAAGATTCTCAGAATTTGTTGATATTGTGTACCATTGAGTCTATTGTGATTAATAGTGACACTATAGGACAGAGTAGAACTGCCCCCCCAGGGCCTTCTAGGCTGTAATCTTAATGAAGGAGCCCTGGTGGGTGCAGTGGTTAAGCATTTGGCTGCTAAGTCAAAGATCTGCAGTTTGAATCCACCTGCCTCTCTACAGAAGAAAGACATGGCAGACTGCTTCTGTGAAGATTACAACCTTGGAAACCCAATGGGGCAGTTCTACTCTGTCATATAGGGCCACCATGAGTCTGAATCCACTCAACAGCAATG